GTTTTAAGTCCTATTGGGCTCCTTCCCCTTCTAATTCATGACCACATGATGGTGTTGGTCTTTTACTTCGTCATCCTTTACATAAACATGTTCAGAAGATTGATCCCTGGAAAGGTCGTCTTTTAAAATTAGATCTTTTTTTTCATCAAACTAAAATTTCCATTATTTCAGTTTACATTCCTCCTTATCACTCTATTCATTACAAAGAACGTGATGCCATTTTTGCTCAACTAAATTTATGGCTTGATAAAGCCCGCTCTAATAACTATCACGTAGTCATCCTTGGTGATTTTAATGCAGATGAAATTTCACATTCACATCTTCCTCAACATCATTTAAAAATTTTACGATCACTCTCTTCTTGATACTTTACGGATCATCAATCCCATATTTCTTCAATTTCAGGTCCTAATCCCACCTTTTATCATCAGAATGGTTCTTCAAGACTTGATTATATTTGGTCATCCCCTGGATTTCCTGCTCCTGGTCTTTTCTCTCATGTTGATACTTGCCCTAAGTTGAATGATAATCAATTTACTGATCATCGTGTACTTATAACGGCCTTTGATTTTAGCTCTTGTTTTGCTATTTTAGCTAAAGCTAGATTAAAACAAAAAAGCGAACAACGTACCATCTTTCTTTATAAAAATTTGAATGAAGACATTTGGGATAAATTTTCCATTGAAGTTAACTCGCGTCTTGAGTTATATTTGACCATACACCACCCTTCCATATCTTCACTCTCAGTTCTTTCTTTGGACAAACTTTGGCACGCTCTTAAACGTTCTATTCTTGGTGGTGCCATTGATTCCCTACCATTTCAACATGTTTCCAATACCCATCACCATAATTATCCTCCTGAGCTTACGATGCTTATTGCTATCAACAAATTCCTAGATAGATTATTGTTCAAATTGACCACGTCTCGGCCTAGTCGTCCAGCTCAAATCTCACAGATGATTAATTCTTTGTCTACACAATTAACTCTTCTCAAATCTCTTTTAAAAGATTATACTATACCTATTTATAGTACGTCACCCCTTCCTGCTTTTATCAAATTTTTGCGTTCGCAAAAAACTTTGGTCTCTGCCTATCTCTCCACGCAACTTCATCAACATCGTGCAGATTCCATTGAATATTATACTGCTCTTAGAGATGAACATTTCTCTACGTCTCCGGGCTCTTTTATTTCTTCAGCCCTATCAGTGGAACATCGCTCTATCGTTCTTGACAGAGTTTTGGTTGTAATTGACTCTAAACCCACTCTT